TTTTCTTCTCATCCTCTCCAGTATCTGTTGTTTTTGAGTTATTGATAATGGCCATCCTGACTGGAGTTAGGTGGTATCTCAGTGTGGTTTTAATTTACATTTCTTTGATGACTAGTGAGGCTGAGCTTTTTTTCCCTTTTAGCACATTTGAGTTCCTTGTAGATCCTGGATGTTAGACTTTGTCAGATGTACAGCAAATATTTTTTACCATTCTGTGGGCTGTCTGCCCGCTTTCTTGATGGTTTCTTTTGCTTTGCAAAAGCTTTTCAGTTTGATGAAGTTCCACTTATGTATCTTATCTTTTATGGTATTTGCTTTTGGAGAATTGATCAAGAATTGGTTGCCTTCTCTAATGTGCCTAAGAGTGTTTCCTATGTTTTCTTCTAGGATTCTTATAGTTTGAGGTTTTACATTTAGGTCTTTTATCCATTTAGAGTATGATGGACTCTAAATCTATCCAAGTTACTGTGAAGCCCTTCTTTATGTCTGCATAGTACACCATTGTGTATATGTACCAAGTTTTCTTTATCTAGTCCACTTTCAATGGGCAGCAGGGCTGCTTCCATGTTTTTGCTATTGTAAATAGTGTGCAAGTATCTTTTTTTGTAGAATGATTTAGGATAATTTTTTAAAAAATCTATACTTAGATCATGGTAATGTAATTTCCATACATTAAAAAATTTATAAAGAGAAGAATTATAAATCTTCCAAAGAGTATAGATTTCTTAGAAAGAATGAAAACCGGATTGTCATCAGATTTCTCTTCAGTCACAGTAGATGTAGGAGGATAATGGAGCAATATCCTCAAAATGCTGAGGAAAAATAGTGTATCCATATATGCTCAGATGCTCAGGTAAACCATTGTTTAAGTTTGAGTATCTAATAAAGAAATGTAGGCTGGGCACGGTGGCTCAAGCCTGTAATCCCAGCACTTTGGGAGGCCTAGGTGAGGGGATTGCCTGAACCCACGGGTTCAAGGCAGTCTGGACAACTTGGCAAGAACTCGTCTCTACAATAAATAAAAAAATTAGCCAGCGTAGTGGTGCCGCCTGTAGTTCTGGCTACTTCAAAGGTACCCAAGAGCGGAAGGATCACCTGAGCCCAACAGGTCGACGCTGGGTTAGCCATGAGCGTGCCACTGCACTCCAGCCTGAGCAGTCGAGGGAGACTCCAACTTAAAAAAAAAAAGAAAAGAAATATAGACATAAGAGACTCAGAGTTCACTGTGCTCAAATTACTAGATGTTAATAATCCAGGGAGGAAATAATAAAGATATAAGAAGCAGTGGTAAATCATAGATAAACCAATTTCAACTTTTCTTGATGGAGACAGATTAAATTAGAGCACTTTCTGTCCCCCTATTTTTTCAGTGGAATCATTGTTCACCCTTTTTTCCCCTTGGAGCTAGCCCATACCTGAAGTTTTGAACCTGGATACCTTGGAAAATAATGATTGTGCCTTTGATAAGGTTTTTTATCTGGTTGGCAAACTGGGTCCCCTAAGAGTGTTGCAGTTCTGGAGCTGTACTGCCAGCCTAGGATCCACATGGTGGTCAGGATGTGATGACGTCTGAATGTGGAACATGATGGTACCCAAGAGCTTGGGGATGCCAGCAGCTGTGAGCTGCCCCCTCCCCAGATTGTTGAGGGGGTTTGTGAACCAAGCCCTGAGAAGTGTCATAGCGGTGTCAGCTCAGGGTGCACTTAAAAATCTTCAAATAGTCATCTATATGTGTCCTTTACCTATAGCTCATTCACATATTTCTTCACAAAGTAAAAAAAAAAAAAAAAAAGAGTAAATGGTGTTGATTATTCTTAATGTACCTTTTTTTTTTTTTTGAGTTGGAGTCCCACTCTGTTGCCCAGACTGGAGTACAGTGGCCACTCCCGACCACCGCAGCCTCGACCTGCTGGGCTCCGGTGATCCTTCCGCCTCAGCCTCCCAAGTAGCCGGAATTACAGGCGCGTGCTACCACGCCCAGCTAATTTTTTGATTTATTGTAGAGATGAGGTCTCGCCTGCCCAGGCAAGTCTCGAACCCGCGGGCTCAGGCAATCCACTCTCCTCAGCCTCTCAAAGGTGCAGGATTACAGGCTGAGCCTCTGAGCCTGGCCTTAATGTACCCTTTGAATTTCCTATCTGGAAGATAAAAGGCTTCCATTTTTATCTTAAATCATGTAATATGGGAGATGTATTTGTGTTATCCTGCAAAATATTCTGATATTATTGAACTTAATTTTAGTTAGGAATATTATAAATTTGATAAACTATGATCTCTGGTAAATTAATAAAACTCACTAATTTATGTGTGGTAGACAGCTACTTTGATGACTTCCAGTTATTTAATATTCATGCCCTTATGTAATCTCCTCCTCTTGAACATTGACTGGGTTTACTAGTTTGTTTCTAATAAACAGAATGCAAAAGATGTGATATGTCACTTCCAAAATTACATGTTAAAAAGACAATGGCTTCTGTCTTAGGAGTTCTCTCACACGTGATAGCTCATTCTAAGGGAAGCAGCTATTATGTGAATATGTGGAGCAACCCTGTGGAGAGGTCCACATGAGTGTGCTTAGAAGCAGATTTTTGAGACCAGCCAGCAGCCACGTGAATTAACTTAGAGTAGATTCTCCACCAGTCAAATTTGGTTCAAATTCAGTAAGCATAGTATATACTGTGTGTCAAGAACAGAGGTTGGTAAATTTCATTTTATGTAAATTATACCTAAACAAAACTGAATTAAAAAACCTGACTACACACACAAACACAAATCCAGTTAAACAGTTTGCTAATCTTAAAATATTGCACTTGGAGCAATAATTTTTTTAACCAAGAAAATATATGAATAAATCTGAGCTCTTTAGGAATAGTTTTATGTATACAAATACTATTAAATTCAAAGGATAATCTCTTTCTTCCTAGGGTTACTGGCAGAAAACAGAACTTTAAGCTTCCTCATGATGTCATCAGAAGATTGGAATTGGATTAGAAGGGGGGAAGGGTGACCTAGGGTGTCACTGAGGTGAAGTCGTAAGAGACCAGACTGTTGGGGAGCTCCATTAGACTGCAGAAAAGCATAAGATTGCCTTAATAAAATGAGCTCCAATTGTGGTATATCTTAAATTCTAGTGTGAGAAATAAGAAATTGACTAGTAGGTCAGTGGCTTTCCAACTGGAACAATGTTGGGAAACCATTGTGATAAGACAATAAAAAATTTAAATTCTTGAGTAGGATTTGTGATTAAAGGGTTAACATCAGATTAATAGCATTCATATTTTAAAAGCACATAGCATAGTGCCTGGAACATGAACACTGTTTTATGTGTTTTTTAAATAAAATATGTCAGTCTTTTTTTCCATGATATTCTAATGATAGAATAATAGGGAATGACATAGATACATGAGTTAGTAAGAGAAAGTAAGAGAAGTGAACATTTATTTAACATATTATCAGTCAGATACTGTGTTTTATGCTTTCAGATTACATGATTTAAACTCAACAACAGAGATAAGTATTAATACCTTTATTTTACAACTATGGAAACTTAGACTTAGACTCAGAAAGAGGGGCTTAGGTTCTAATTAATTCAGTTACCACAAACACAGAAGGGCTACTGTTTCTCAGCAGTTGGTGAGGGTCTACTTGAGGGATGCATGTCTACAAATCATATCCAGAGCAAGTAAATTTGATTGAGGTGGGGAGTGTTTGGCAGTGGTAGATAGGAATTGCTAACCAGCTCACTAGTTGGTCAGTAATCTCAAAAAAGTTTGAGATTCACTGTCTTAAAATAGAGCAGATATTCTTGCTGTGTGTTGATTTCTAGTATTTTGACATTTTAGAAACAAAAGTTAGCTTCGTAGAGGTTATCTATAGCTTTATATAAAAAATGTTGTATCTCTACAGTGCTTATAACATAGCTATAGTTCTCAATGCTTATACTTCATAAATAAGGGTTTTTTTTTAAAAGCCATTATTCTCTGTTAGTCTTCACTAGTATTTCTATTGTTGATAATACAAAGTGGCATCTACCTGGCAGCAATATTTTTCAAATTCCTTTCTTTGCTATTTCTTTCTTTCTTTCTTCTTCTTTTCTTTTATTTTGAGTTGGAGTCTCACTGTGTCACCCAGGCTGGAGTGCAGTGGCATGTTCTCGGTTACCACAGCCTTGACCTACAGGACTCAGGTGATCCTTCTGCCTCAGACTTCCAAGTAGCTGGAACTACAGGCACATGTCACCATACTCTGCTAATTTTTTGATTTATTGTAAAGACGAAGTCTTGCCAAGTTGCCCAGGCTGGTCTCAAACCCCCAAGCTGTCCTCTCACCTCCACCTCCCAAAGTGCTGGAAATACAGGTGTAAGCCACCACACCTGGCTTTTTGCCTTTTCTTTTAGCTTAAGCTGTCTGAGACATACAGCTTTGTGTTTATCATTTTTATACAGTATGAGGTAAAGATGTACAGCATTTTTATTATTATACATAAGTGAATCACAGTCATTAACAGATTTGTATAGATTGGATTTATACATATGTTCCTCAAGTTATCGTGAGGTTACATCCTAATGAACCCATTATAAGTTGAAAACATACATCAAAATCCATGTAACACATCTAACCTATCAAACATCTTGGCTTAGCCTAGCTTAAATGTGCTCAGAACACATACGTTAGCCTACAGTTGGGCAAAATAATCTAACACAAAGCCTACTGTATAATAAAGTAGTGAATATCTCATGTAATTTATTAAATGCTGTACTGAAAATGAAAAACAATGTATGAATACTTAATGTGCAGTGCTTTCATATATTGTGAAGTTGAAAAATCTTAAGATGAGGATTATCTAATAGTGGGTCTTTATGAGATAATCCTATTCTCCTAAACTCTTGTTTCTTTAACAAGCATATTAGCCCAAAATAATTGTTCGTAGTATTTAGCTGCCTACTTATTATTTAAATGCCAACACTTAATCTTACATGATTTTATGTATTTTTCAACAGTGAATCTATGATTGCACATGGAGAAAGTATGCGACAGCTGATGAGAAATTTTTCTGAACCTTTTGGAAGAGACTTGCTCAGTATCTCTGATGGTAGAGGGAGAGCTCGTAATCGTACAGGACAAAATGATGGTGAAGATTCCTTGACTGTAAGTTCTTTTTATTATTATTATTATTTTAAAGACATTGGGAGAGTCCTGTAGGAATTTGAAGAAAAGTATTATAGAGGTACATGGCTATATCTATGATGGTGGGATGGATATACCTGTTTTATAGAATTAATTATTGGCCAGGCTCAGTGACTCAGCCTGTAATTCCATCACTTTGGGAGACTGAGGCAAGTGGATTGTCTGAACCCACAAGTTCGAGATCAGCCCAGGCAACTTGGCGAGACCTCGTCTCTACAATAAATAAATTAGCCAGGCATAGTAGCACGCACCTTTAGTTCAGGCTACTTGGAAGGCTGAGGCGGAAGGATCGCCAGAGCCCGGCAGATCGATGCCAGGGTGGCTGTGAGTATGCCACTGCACTCCAGCCTGGGCGACAGAGTGAGACTCCCCCTCAAAAAAATTAAAAGTAGAATTAATTATTATATAAAAGGGGGAAAGCTGAATCCTTGAATAATGGATCATTAGCCATGTAGAATTCTGTTGTGCTACTAAAACTTTAAGGACCATAGGGTTATATCAGCCACACTTAAGCCATTATTTTTCATACACATTTCTCACCTGATAATTACCTCTCATGTCTTAAATTAGAACAGGTAAGGAAATATTCTTCCTTCCCTATACACATTTTTACTGCTTTAAAATAGTATCAAAAGCTATAGTATTAATGGATTGTGTGTTGGACTGGGAGACACTAATCTCCTATATAGTTATCTAGGATCTTCAAAGCTTAGATTAACCTTTAATTGTATCACAAAAGCCTTGCACCACTACAATATATTTTAAAAAGTCTTTTCTGAGAGCAAAACTGGGAGACTACAAACATGCTAATAAAAAATCTAAAATATTTATATATATCTTAACCATTTTCTTTTTTGCCTCTTTTATTTCTGTTGCTTTTTCATCAGGAATGGCAGTTCTAGGATAATGAATCCACAGGGGTTTCTAAAGATGAATCTCTGCAGTTGAAATGTAGATATTTGGGACTCAGTGAACATTGAATTGGTCAATTAAGAAACTTCCGAATCTTTAAGAAAAACATTATATTTTTTGTTTGCAATAAGTTTAAATAGAGCAAAATATTTCAACTAGTTCTAAGCAGTTTAATGAATAACATTACTGTTGCCATTTAAGAGTCTCATGCTCTACCGACTGAGCTAGCTGGGTCTCCCTATTGTTGCCATGTAAAATGAAAGTAATTTTCATTCTTTTTCATATATATTATTCCCAAGCAGCATATTTACATTACACTTAGTTTTTTGTTTAGTGAATAGTGGTATCATTATATACATTTTACCTGTAGTGCTAATCAGTTTCCATAAAAATTTAAAATTAATATCAGAGGAAAAAATGCTAAAGAGGACAGAAAAATCACTTGTGATATTCCGAAATGTTATCTTTCCTGTGAGCTTAAGTTTTTTTAAAAAACTTTTTTTTTTGTTTTATCTTAGCATTAAAACATTCTGAATATCAGCTATAACTGTAGAAAGAAAGAATAGGGCTGTATGTAGCTCTTTGTATTTATGTGCATAAATGGGCTACTTCCCATTTGTAAGAAAAAAGCAAGAAGTGACCATTTTATTCCCTAACTTGTAATCATAGACAGGAGACCTGTTATAATTCAGCTGAAAATTTCTTATGAAGATGTCTATACACATCAGCTATTACTCTGCTGATCATCCATTGAAAGTAGAAGTGTTTCTTTCCTGGATATGTGCACTTAAAACACTAAATGTTTAACACGAACTGGAATAAGAAATACATAACTAAATAAAGAGATAAGGTTCAGTGAAACTGTAATTTGTAGGATTCATAATTTAGAACTGTGTGCATTTTAGCATGCTTCATATTATATTTGCCTTACCAAAATGACTTTAAATTAAGTGTTAGCGGAAAGGGAAAGGAAGAAAATACACTGCTGAAGTATTATGATTGCATAAATGTGATGATTAAATAAGAAGTCAAAGCTGGGCTCAGTGGCTCAGCCTGTGATCCCGCGCCTTTGGAAGGCTGAGGTGAGTGGATTACCTGAGCCCGCGGGTTCGAGACCCGCCTGGGCAACTTGGCGAGACCTCAGCTCTACAATAAATCAAAAATTAGCTGGGTGTGGTAGCGCACGCCTGTAGTTCCAGCT